ACACACACACACACACACACTCGCACACACACACACACATACACTCTCACTCTCTCTCTCTCTCTCTCTCTCTCACACACACACACACACACACACACACACACACACACACACACACACACATATACGTACACATTTACAAACGCATGCACGCATTTTCAAATGAATACAACACCTGAAAACTGATAACAAATGGTAACTGATTATCAATAAAACATCAATGTAAGGTGTATATATATCTCTCTTTCTCTCTCTCTCAATATCTTCATCGTCGGACGTTTCTGAGTTATTATTCTTGCTCTTCCTTTTCTCTGCTTCCAAAATAACCCTCAACAGTTTGTTTTCACGCTTCTTCTTTTCTGCCATCTCTTTCTTTGCTTTTTTCTGCTCCTTCTCTTTCTGTCTCTCTAGTTGTTGCTTCTTTTTTTCTTCTTCTCGTTGCTTTTTCTTTTCTTCATTTTGCCTCTTCTTTTCCTCATTCTGTTGTTTCCTTTCTTCAGCCTCTTTCTTCTTTCTCTTCAATTCCACTTTCTTCCTTGTTTCATCAACCTTTGTCTGTTCCTTTTCTTTCAGCATTTTGATATCCTCCCCACTCATAAATTCGGGCATTTTTCGCGCTTTTCTTTTCCTCTCTGACCTCTTTCTGGTCTCTGGAATCGGGGCTCTGAGGGGGTCTTGTGGGGTCTGAAAAACTGGTTCAGCTGGCCTGGGGGTGGTGAGTTCAGTATAGTAAATCTTCCAACGGTCGAATAGAGGTTCACCTGGGCTGCCATTTTCAACCCTTTTGAAATATCCCTGAAGGGTCGTGGCGTCTACCTGATTACATATCAGGGCGAATTTTTGAAGGGTGTTTCTGAGGGCAGATGTAGGGGATTCTGATGAAGCTGAGGGTGCTGAGGAGACATAGGCTGAGGGTGCTGTGGAGACATAGGCTGAGGGTGCTGTGGAGACATAGGCTGAGGGTGCTGTGGAGACATAGGCTGAGGGTGCTGTGGAGACATAGGTAGAGGGTGCTGAGGAGACATAGGCTGAGGGTCCTGGGGAGACATAGGCTGAGGGTGCTGAGGAGACATAGGCTGAGGGTGCTGGGGAGACATAGGCTGAGGGTGCTGAGGAGACATAGGCAGAGGGTCCTGGGGAGACACAAGCTGAGGCTTCTGGGATGACACAAGCTGGGGGTGCATGGTCAGAAATCGGCAAAACTCAAACAAAACACGTCTCACTGCCGCGTTGGAGGCACTGCCGCGGTCTGGCACATCGACTCTAGATCTAGATCTAGACGTCGGGAAGACGTTGAAGTTTTTACTTTACTTTAAGAATTTATAGATCTACTATAATAATAACTTATTAGATAAGGAACCTGTTGTTAGGGGACTGTACAGTCCCCTGGCGCTGCTTACACGGGGACTACAGTCCCCTAACGCTGCTTACTTGGGGACTGTTACTGTTTTATGACAAAATGAAGGCCGTGTTTTTAGTGGGGTCCCTTAATGGCGAAAATTAGGGGTATGCTTCACTTCATGTTAGAGACGTACTGTAAGGGGCATGTCTCCTAAGACATTTACCTTTCAAATAAGCAAGAGATCCATGATGATTCTTGATGATCCATGACTGCGCTAGCCTACCCATTCGGGGACTGTACAGTCCCCTAGCGCTGCTTACTAGGGGAAATTCGGGGACTGCAGTCCCCTAACGCTGCTTACTCGGGGACTGTTACTAGAATCTAATGTTTTATGACAAAATTAATGCCGTGTTTGGCTCTCGAAAATTAGGGGTATGCTGCACTTCATGTTAAAGACATACTGTAAGGGGCATATGTCTCCTAAGACAATTACCTTTCAAATAAGCCAGGTGTGGCCAGCTGTCAAAGTAGGTCACTATAATTTTTCTCAGTCTACTCACTAGACCACCACATTATATTGTCAACAAATATCCAAATATACAAAAGTAAAACTCAAAATGTAAGATTTCTATATATCATTCACGAATGATAAAATGAAAAATACATTTGGCATAGAAAAATGGCAAAAATAGGGTCTAATAATATTTCATGTAATGAGGTCACGCCAACATACTACTAGGCCAGTAAAATTGACATCGTACCCGGACTTGAAAGATAACAACCAAATTTTTGCGCCAACTTGAACTTTGAGCTGTTAAGTACTACCCAAAAAAATTCAAGCAAAATCGCCCCTGGGGAACATGCTTAGTTTTAACCTAATAAAAGTCAAAGTCAAAAAGGTCAATTTTCGAATTCGTTAAAAGATGTCATTATTTGTTCGGAATGACAGAGATAGTCAAATGAAACACAGAAATACTTTTATTTTTCAAAGTGACTCTATAGTTATCACTTAATTAGCCTTTAAAAATTATAAAAGGTCAAGGTAATTGTCAAGGTCATCTTAAAATAGCTCAAATATGGTCGTGTTTGGTAGCAAATTCAACATCTCAACAAGAAAAACACAGAATTTATGTTGTTTATTCAATTAACTTACATTTAAGTTACCTATTGGCGGTCAAACATGATTGAGATAATAATAATATACGTCTTAAAACTAAAAGATATGGGGAGGTCATATAAACCTAAAAAAATAAATCCATGTTCGAGCATAGCATGCAGCTGGGCTTTTGTATGCCAAGCTTCATGAAAATTCATCGGCATTCTTCGAGACCTGCACGCACTCGGCATACGCGGTCACCTCCCTGCCTTCATTGGCAACTTCCTGAAGAACCGTTCCTTCCAGGTTCGTGTCGGACGCTTTCAGACCCCCACCAACAGGAGGAAAGAGTCCCGCAGGGGAGCATCTTTTCTACTCTCCTATTCGAAATTAAAATAGATTCCATCGTAAAAACCCTCCAAAATAGCATAGACAGCTCGTTATACGTTGACGACTTTTTGATAGGCTGCCGTTCGAAAAATCCTCATCTGAGATCTATGGAAAGGCAGCTGCACAAACTCGAAAAATGTGCAAACAATAACGGTTTTAAGTTCTCTACGTCAAAGACGGTTGCAGTATACTTCTGCCAAACAGGCAGACGTGTGTCGCAGCCGGATTTGACACTATACGGGGAAAGGATTCCCGTCCAGGACCAAGCTCGTTTCCTCGGCGTTATATTCGACAAAAAACTCACATTCATACCACACATCAAAGACCTTCGTGTCAGGTGCCAGAAAGCGCTTAATGCTTTGAAAATTCTATCGCTTCCGGAGTGGGGCGGAAACTCAAAACACCTTCTCCACTTGTACATCTCCTTTGTCCGGTCCAGGCTTGACTACGGCTGTCAAGTCTACGGATCGGCAAAACCACACATCCTGAAAATGCTAGACCCAGTACAAAACCAAGGACTCCGCCTCGTTCTGGGGGCTTTCCGCACTTCTCCGGTGGAGAGCCTCCAGGCCGAGGACAACATTCCACCACAATTCCAAAACAACGAGAAACTCATCAAACCCTTCGGCATCAGAATCCTTGAGGACCTCAAAAACTTACACTTTTCCAAACAAGACATCCAACAATTTCTTTTCCCCGACCTCCCGCTGTGGCACCTCACCAAGGCAAAAGTAGACTTACAGCTGACCACACACAACAAAGAAAGCACAAACACCAAAACTTTTAAAGCAGAATACAAAAAACTAATAGATAAATACCCCGGTGCGGAGCTCATCTTCACGGATGGCTCCAAAAAAGACAATGAAATGGGCGCCGCAGCCCTATCTCCCAACAGTACACACCAGAGGAGACTCCATCCTGAAGCCTCAATTTTCTCTGCGGAGGCCACTGCCATTGACATGGCACTGGACTCTGTAGAAAATTTCCTAACAAATAATTCCTTATCCTTTCTGACTCTCTGTCTTGCATCACCTCACTCACAAACTACACACTCCTACACCCAAAAATAGTTAGGCTACAACAGAAAATTCATACACTTCAGAAACAGGAAAAAACATCGTGTTCGCACGGATACCTAGCCATGTGGGCATCCGAGGAAATGAGCAGGTAGACGACCTGGCGAAGAAAGCCTCATCCCTTCTGTTGGGATCAACGACAAACACTCTCCCACAGACTGACTTTAGAAATAAAGTCAAAAAGTATACCTCCAGTTTGTGGGAGAGCCACTGGAAAAAACAAGAAAATAACAAACTGAATGGTATAAAACCCAAGCTAGAACAGCGAAATCCTTCGGACCTCTCCAGAAGAGACGAAGTCATTTTTACTCGATTGCGCATCGGACACACGGCCCTGACCCACAAATACCTCCTACAGGGAGATGAGAAACCGTTCTGTGTCGGATGCGACACAGATTTTACCATTAGACACATCTTAACCGAATGTCTAGACTTTGGAGAGATCCGAAGGAAATATTATAAATAAATGCAAGAAATTGCAAGACATTTTTTCCATCGTTGGTCCCAACAGAATTTTGAATTTTATTAAGGCCATTGGCCTTTATGGCAAATTATAAAGTGGAATCGTACTATTTAAAATTTTTATTGTTATTTATAAAAGTTGTTTTAAATTGAAAATGTATTTACACCGAATTTTAATATTTTAGTATTTTAAAGTCTAAAAGCTAACCAACCGTGCAGTGAACTATTGTGAATGCAAACAACTTGTGTTTGGCGCGCTCATATGAACTTATGCAGTTGCGAGCGCCGTAAAACCCTGTACTGCTACTACTACTACTACTACTACAAATGTGGGAAGATATAAAGTAAAAATAATAAAATTAGGGCGAAATAAGGCCTTTTCGTGATTTCACATTTGGAACTCCCCACTTCCATTTCTAACCGATTGTTTGAGTAATGGTCATAAGTGTATGACGTCTGCTGTGTATGCGTTTCCTTCTTCTAGTTTGGTTGCTCTGAAGAGCTATAGAGTTTTTCCTACCCTTGTTACTTAAGAACAAGTCTGTTTGCGTTGATTGGTAGAGAGCCAGTCCTCTTCCATCCCATCAGCGTCTTGGGTCAGGCACACTCAATGTGTAAACTAGAAGATACTGAG